TGTTTTAGAACCATTTATTGGAAAGTGGACCAGTTCTAGCTCTGACTTGCGAGAGTATAGGTGGCGGAGGTTTATTTTCCTCTGCGGTGAGTGAAGTGCAGAGGCTGAGGTATTGGCTCACACAGTACCAATTTTGTTGCAGATTATTGTTAGCTTCCAGATATGAGGTAAATCATGTTTGGGAAAGTTTTTAGGTGTCAGTCTTTTATTGATCTATATATTCTGAGGATATTATGTCTTTGTGACTAATTTTCATTAAAATGTATGCAAATTATTTTTTTGGGGAAGGTATTTTTTAAGTCAAAGTAATCGATAAATATAGTTAACCCCCAGTCAATAACTGTTTAAAAATGAAAAATTTGGTGAGAAAAGTCTTCCTAATCTTTAGTTACATCCCGACAAGTAAGGATTGTCAAAGTCTGTGGTTGACCATAGCTGGGAAGAGTTGGGTCAAGGACATAATTTCTTCAGCCTGCTCATAATGGTTAATGTCTTGTGTCATGGCAAGACTGAGAGTCACGCCAGAATGTGATGTCCTCTTGTCATATTGAACAGTTGCTCAACAGTACTTGTTCGGCCGTGTTAGGAGTCATTGAGGAGAAACCATTCTTCATTAGTAGACTTAAAGCCTCATTTTAACCTGCATGATTAAATAGATGTTTATTCTGCCGCCAAAAGTGTGGAAATTTGGTAAATTGGTTCCCCACGCTTCTAAGTTCTGTTGCTTTGTTTTAATATTTCCTTGATTATCATTTACTGTTCAAAAAATGAATTGGTAGAGCAACTTAATGAAATATATGAAGCCTTATTTTTGAGTGGGACAAGGCATCATTGGTTTTTATTAAAATTTGGAAAAAAAAAATGTGCAGTCTTTGATATTCAGGATATGTTACAAGATCAGTTTATTATGATTTGGATTTTTCATTAAGTTCATGTATTGCCCCTGAATTGTTGCAGTTTTGTGTTATGTTTGCCAAAGATAGGGAAGTAATATTCAAACTCCAAAGAGCAAATTCAAGTTGCAACTCATTGAGTGATTAGTTACACCATCCATTCATGGATTTTTATTATTTGTGATCATTACAACAGTCTTTAATAGACACCTAGTATGCATGTTAGGATTTTACAACATTATGATTTAATTTCAGAAAGCATGGAGGAGTTACTTTCATTGAAGTGGAACAACCACCGTTCCACTTTCCTCCACATTTTGGGAGTTCTCAGGGACAAGGTATGTAAATAATTATTTTATGCCATGGATCATGTATGTGTATTTGTTTTTGTTGATGTATAAAATTTACTTTATTTGGCATTCTCTTGTTCATTATTGTCCTTTTAACTTGGAGTTTACAATTTTACAGCAATCATACACGGATGTGACTCTGGCATGTGATGGCAAGTTCTACAGTGTGCATAAGCTGGTGTTGTCAACATGTAGTGACTATTTCTGTGCCATGTTTGAGAAGACTGCTTGTAAAAGCCCTGTTATAGTGTTAAAAGATATTAAATGTGAGGACCTTGAGGCCTTGCTAGACTATATGTACCTTGGTGAAGTGAATGTAAGGCAAAGTGACCTAGCGTCTTTGATAAAGGCTGCCGAAAATTTACGCATCAAGGGTCTCGCAGTACCTGATGATGAACCTTCTAATAAAGTTCCGGCGACGTCTGCACCAAACAGAGCCGAGCCGGCGAGGAGAGAAGGAGGGATTGGTAGCCCTCCTGCCAAGCGGAAAAGAAGAGACGAGGGTGAAGACGGCAGGGAAGATGTAAGACCGCAGGCCAGTGGTGGCTTACAAACCCCCCCTCCTCCTCCGTCTAGACCAAAGAGCCCTATCGCCCAGCGCCTGAGCCCTTCCCCCCACAGAACCTCTCAGGAATCCCCTGCAACAGATGATCGTGTCAGCCGTCCCCTCTCGTCGCCAGCAGAAAACCCTGCCTCGTCTCATGTCACGGCACAATCTTCCGCACACACCACTGCGTCGCAAGCGCAAGCCAGTAGTCAGTTTAGATCAGAAGAGACTCCCTCCTTTGTCAAAGTGGAAATGGAGGAAGAAAGTGCCAACGAGATGCCTGGAGATTCCTACGACCTCAGCGCGGACGGTTACAAGGAAGAAGGCGACGATTCCGGAAGTGGAGTGAATAACGATTTACCCGAGTTCCTACAAGCAGCAGCCACTGGAGCCTTAGCTGGTAGCACAGCCTCGTACCCTCACCCTTCCTTTGCCGGGCCCTCTGGCTACCAGCCGGTAAGTTAGCTGACATAATACACAAACTCTAGATTTTGGAATAAGAATTACTTTGTAACTTTACACGAGAATCAAGGGACTTGTCTTCTGATAATCAGCTCGTCAGCTTGTGCTTATATATGTTGTAACTTCTCTTGCAATGTTTTGTGTAGGGAGACCTGGCGGGCTGGCAGGGTGATGGATCGTCCATAGGCTTCCCTGCACATCTTAACTTTAGCACCTCAGACAGTTCTAGTCAACAGAATGCACCCGGG